TAAGACACAGTAGATAGTTTTTACTGATAAGACACAGTAGATAGTTTTGATAAGACACAGTAGATAGTTTACTGACAAGACACAGTAGATAGTTTACTGATAAGACACAGTAGATAGTTTACTGATAAGACACAGTAGATAGTTTACTGATAAGACACAGTAGATAGTTTACTGATAAGACACAGTAGATAGTTTACTGACAAGACACAGTAGATAGTTTACTGATAAGACACATAGGATAGTTTACTGAGTAAGACACAGTAGATAGTTTACTGATAAGACACAGTAGATAGTTTACTGATAAGACACAGTAGATAGTTTACTGATAAGACACAGTAGATAGTTTACTGATAAGACACAGTAGATAGTTTACTGATAAGACACAGTAGATAGTTTACTGATAAGACACAGTAGATAGTTTACTGATAAGACACAGTAGATAGTTTTTACTGAGTTTACTGATAAGACAGTAGATAGTTTATTTATAAGACACAGTAGATAGTTTACTGATAAGACACAGTAGATAGTTTACTGATAAGACACAGTAGATAGTTTACTGATAAGACACAGTAGATAGTTTACTGATAAGACACAGTAGATAGTTTACTGATAAGACACAGTAGATAGTTTACTGACAAGACACAGTAGATAGTTTACTGATAAGACACAGTAGATAGTTTACTGACAAGACACAGTAGATAGTTTACTGATAAGACACAGTAGATAGTTTACTGATAAGACACAGTAGATAGTTTACTGATAGACACAGTAGATAGTTTACTGATAAGACACAGTAGATAGTTTACTGATAAGACACAGTAGATAGTTTACTGACAAGACACAGTAGATAGTTTACTGATAAGACACAGTAGATAGTTTACTGATAAGACACAGTAGATAGTTTACTGATAAGACACAGTAGATAGTTTACACAGTAGATAGTTTACTGATAAGACACAGTAGATAGTTTACTGATAAGACACAGTAGATAGTTTACTGACAAGACACAGTAGATAGTTTACTGATAAGACACAGTAGATAGTTTACTGATAAGACACAGTAGATAGTTTACTGATAAGACACAGTAGATAGTTTACTGACAAGACACAGTAGATAGTTTACTGATAAGACACAGTAGATAGTTTACTGATAAGACACAGTAGATAGTTTACTGATAAGACACAGTAGATAGTTTACTGATAAGACACAGTAGATAGTTTACTGATAAGACACAGTAGATAGTTTACTGATAAGACACAGTAGATAGACTGATAAGACACAGTAGATAGTTTACTGATAAGACACAGTAGATAGTTTACTGATAAGACACAGTAGATAGTTTACTGATAAGACACAGTAGATAAGACACAGTAGATAGTTTACTGATAAGACACAGTAGATAGTTTACTGATAAGACACAGTAGATAGTTTACTGATAAGACACAGTAGATAGTTTACTGATAAGACACAGTAGATAGTTTACTGATAAGACACAGTAGATAGTTTACTGACAAGACACAGTAGATAGTTTACTGATAAGACACAGTAGATAGTTTACTGATAAGACACAGTAATTACTACATTTACACATTGTGTTGTACATTCACAAGAAGACAGTAAACATTCACTCATTATGTTGTACGTTCACAAGAAGACAGTAGCTAGTGCACCCCCAATCAAACATTCACACATTATGTTGTACATTTACAAGAAGACAGTAGCTAGTGCGCCCCCAATCAAACATTCACACATTATGTTGTACATTCACAAGAAGACAGTAGCTAGTGCACCCCCAATCAAACATTCACACATTATGTTGGACATTTACAAGAAGGCAGTAGCTAGTGCGCCCCCAATCAAACATTCACTCATTATGTTGTACATTCACAAGAAGACAGTAGCTAGTGCACCCCCAATCAAACATTCACTCATTATGTTGTACATTTACAAGAAGACAGTAGCTAGTGCACCCCCAATCAAACATTCACTCATTATGTTGTACATTCACAAGAAGACAGTAGCTAGTGCGCCCCCAATCAAACATTCCCACATTACGTTGGACATTTACAAGAAGACAGTAGCTAGTGCGCCCCCAATCAAACATTCACTCATTATGTTGTACATTCACAAGAAGACAGTAGCTAGTGCGCCCCCAATCAAACATTCCCACATTACGTTGGACATTTACAAGAAGACAATAGCTAGTGCGCCCCCAATCAAACATTCACTCATTATGTTGTACATTTACAAGAAGACAGTAGCTAGTGCGCCCCCAATCAAACATTCACATGGACATTCACAAGAAGACTGTAGCTAGTGCACCCCCAATCAAACATTCACACATTATGTTGTACATTTACAAGAAGACAGTAGCTAGTGCGCCCCCAATCAAACATTCACACATTATGTTGTACATTCACAAGAAGACAGTAGCTAGTGCACCCCCAATCAAACATTCACACATTATGTTGTACATTTACAAGAAGACAGTAGCTAGTGCACCCCTAATCAAACATTCACATGGACATTTACAAGAAGACAGTAGCTAGTGCACCCCTAATCAAACATTCACATGGACATTCACAAGAAGACAGTAGCTAGTGCACCCCCAATCAAACATTCACATGGACATTCACAAGAAGACAGTAGCTAGTGCACCCCTAATCAAACATTCACATGGAAATTCACAAGAAGACAGTAGCTAGTGCACCCCCAATCAAACATTCACATGGACATTCACAAGAAGACAGTAGCTAGTGCACCCCCAATCAAACATTCACATGGACATTCACAAGAAGACAGTAGCTAGTGCGCCCCCAATCAAACATTCACACATTATGTTGGACATTCACAAGAAGACAGTAGCTAGTGCACCCCCAATCAAACATTCACACATTATGTTGGACATTCACAAGAAGACAGTAGCTAGTGCGCCCCCAATCAAACATTCACATGGACATTCACAAGAAGACAGTAGCTAGTGCGCCCCCAATCAAACATTCACACATTATGTTGGACATTCACAAGAAGACAGTAGCTAGTGCACCCCCAATCAAACATTCACACATTATGTTGGACATTCACAAGAAGACAGTAGCTAGTGCGCCCCCAATCAAACATTCAACCATCAGCAGTTCTTCCTATGACATTGGAGTGCATTAATGAAAGATAATCACCATGATGCAGATACTGATGATGACAGTATGAGACTAAAGGTAACAGCAGGGACTTTGAAAGTTATAACTCTGACTGAAAGAATTACAAGTAATAAGGACAGGAAGAGAGTTAAACTTACATGGAAAGAGGAAGAGTTAAAGTAACATGAACAGAAAGAAAGTTAAAGTAACATGAAAAGAAAGAGAGTTTAAGTAACATGAACAGAAAGAGAGTTTAAGTAACAAGGACAGAAAGGATTGAAGTAACTTGAACAGAAAGAGGGTTAAAGTAACAAGGACAGAAAGAGAGTTAAAATAACATGGACAGTAAGAGAGTTACATTTGCATGAACAGAAAGAAAGTTACAGTAACAAGGACAGAAAGCGAGTTGAAGTCACTAGGACAAAGGGAGAGGTAAAGTAACTAGGAAAGAAGGAGGGTTAAAGTAACATGAACAGAGAGTTAAAGTAACATGAACAGAGAGTTAAAGTAACCAGGACAGAAAGAGGGTTGAAGTAACAAGGACAGAAAGCGAGTTGAAATAACTAAGACAAAGGGAAGGTTAAGTAAAAGGAACAGAAAGAAAGTTAAAGTAACATGAACAGAGAGTTAAAGTAACCAGGACAGAAAGAGGGTTGAAGTAACCAGGACAGAAAGAGGGTTGAAATAACTAAGACAAAGGGAAGGTTAAAGTAAAAGGAACAGAAAGAAAGTTAAAGTAACATAAACAAAGAGTTGAAGTAACAAGGACAGAAAAGGGTTAAAGTAGCAAGGACAGAGTTAAAGTAACCTGGACAGTTGGAGAGTTACTGTAAGACAGACATAAAGAAACTTAGAGAAACAAGGACATAAAGAGAGGTTTAGTTTTCTCAAAATATAGTGACATTTGTTCATTGTGACAGCCATGTTTGCCTACTATAGACTTGAATCAGTATCACATTCTGTTGCAGACACCTGTAGTTGGAATCAAGGTCTGTGCCCAGCGAGGCTGTTTAGCCATGCTGGCATCACTGGCTCGCAAGGTGTCAGGCACCAGAGTCTATAGACACGATGAGCAAGGCCTCTCCCTGCTGCATCATGCTGCCATCCATAATCGAGCACACATCATCGTCCGGATTCTCCTGAATCCTATAGATATCAACATCCGCAGGAACAATATTCTAGCTTCTGGTAAATGTTCAGTCGCAGGCCAAGACTTTCTGTCATGCAGTTGACAAATGGAGCATGCCGTGCTGTAGCATTTTGTTTTGTTTTTTTACCTCATGGGTAATGGGGCTTTAACTTTCAGGACTTTTCCTAGTACCTCATTTAGGCTGAGTTGACCTGGCTAAGCTAAGTGTGAGAGTGTAAGCCGTCATGGTAATAAACAACATCTCATATAAAGATAAGGAAGATTATGGACAGGGAAGTGTGCTGTCCCTTGTCAAGGTTATAAACATCATCACATATAAAGATAACAAGAGGATTATGGAAGCGAAGTTTGCTGTCCCCAGTCATAGTTATAAACAACATCACATATAAAGATAACAAGAGGATTATGGGCAGATAAAGGTAAAGTCCTAAACAACATCACATATAAAGATAAGAAGAGGATTACGGGCAGAGAACTATGCTATCCCCAAGTGTCTTCAGCTTATACACATTTTTAAACACAGGGGATTAAGTATCCAAAAGAAACATAATAAAGAATCGTGGATATACTAGTGATATTGTAACTAGCAGATAGTGAGCAGTAGGTACAAGACCTAGTGGAGCAAGTAAACAGACAAGCGTGCTACTACTAGAAAGGAATGCAGAAAAGTTCAGAGCTGAATGTAAAAGAACACACAGACTAAATGCATGCAGTGGTTCTGCCTTCAAATGTTTTAGTTGTGGAAGACTTCTTAACGTGGGCAGATCTTGTTAGTGACACTGGCCATCACCTGTAGCAGAGTCAAATAGTATCATCTGGAAAGTTGTAGAGATGCTAGCAATAACTAGCAGAAAATGAGCAGGAGTTATGGGACCTACTAGAACAAGTAAACAGACATTGTGTGGCTAGCAGAAAATGAGCAAGAGTTATGGGACCTAATAGAACAAGTAAACAGACATTGTATGGCTAGCAGAAAATGAGCAGGAGTTATGGGACCTACTAGAACAAGTAAACAGACATTGTGTGGCTAGCAGAAAATGAGCAGGAGTTATGGGACTTACTATAACAAGTAAACAGACATTGTGTGGCTAGCAGAAAATGAGGGAGAGTTATGGAACCTAATAGAACAAGTAAACAGACATTGTGTGGCTAGCAGAAAATGAGCAAGAGTTATGGGACCAAATAGAACAAAAAATAGACATTGTATGGCTAGCAGAAAATGAGCAGGAGTTATGGGACCTAATAGAACAAGTAAACAGACATTGTGTGGCTAGCAGAAAAGGAGCAGGAATTATGGGACCTAATAGAACAAGTAAACAGACATTGTGTGGCTAGCAGAAAATGAACAGCACTTACAGGATCTAGTAAGTAAGTAAATTAAAGGGCCTTTTTTCTCCCCTTAGGTGTATTGGGCATATAGGGCTAGACATTTATTTTATAGACTAGTCGGCACTTGGTGGCTGATATGGTTAACATAACGGCAGCCACCTTTACCTTCAGGACTGTACTTGAAATCCAATTTTAGGTTGGGTTGATATAGGAGCCCGGTCATTTTTACAGTCCGGCTAAATGCAGATTTGAACCTACAACCTTCTGGCTCACACGCAAGAGTCAAGTTGTACACAGCTGCAGATTCCATAAAACCTATTGGAGCTAGTAAATATAAATATACACTGCAGAGTGTGGATAAGCAGAATTAAAGAATGTTCTCTGACAGTTTGATCACACAGCTGTATGAGAGAAGCTAAATTGACAGTTTGTTCACATAGTTAGTTGTATGAGAGAAGCTACCCTGACAGTTTGTTCACACACTTAGTTGTATGAGAGAAGCTACCCTGACAGTTTGTTCACACACTTAGTTGTATGAGAGAAGCTACCCTGACAGTTTGTTCACACCTTAGTTGTATGAGAGAAGCTACCCTGACAGTTTGGTCACACAGTTAGTTGTATGAGAGAAGCTACCCTGACAGTTTGGTCCCACACTTAGTTGTATCAGAGAAGCTACCCTGACAGTTTGTTCACACACTTAGTTGTATGAAAGAAGCTACCCAGACAGTTTGGTCACACAGTTAGTTGTATGAGAGAAGCTACCCTGACAGTTTGGTCAAACAGTTAGTTGTATGAGAGAAGCTACCCTGACAGTTTGGTCACACAGTTGTATGAGAGAAGCTACCCTGACAGTTTGGTCACACAGTTAGTTGTATGAGAGAAGCTTCCCTGACAGTTTGTTCACACACTTATTTGTATGAGAGAAGCTACCCTGACAGTTTGTTCACACACTTATTTGTATGAAAGAAGCTACCCTGACAGTTTGTTCACACACTTATTTGTATGAGAGAAGCTACCCTGATAGTTTGGTCACACAGTTGTATGAGAGAAGCTACCCTGACAGTTTGGTCACACACTTAGTTGTATCAGAGAAGCTACCCTGACAGTTTGTTCACACACTTAGTTGTATGAAAGAAGCTACCCAGACAGTTTGGTCACACAGTTAGTTGTATGAGAGAAGCTACCCTGACAGTTTGGTCAAACAGTTAGTTGTATGAGAGAAGCTACCCTGACAGTTTGGTCACACAGTTGTATGAGAGAAGCTACCCTGACAGTTTGGTCACACAGTTAGTTGTATGAGAGAAGCTTCCCTGACAGTTTGTTCACACACTTATTTGTATGAGAGAAGCTACCCTGACAGTTTGTTCACACACTTATTTGTATGAAAGAAGCTACCCTGACAGTTTGTTCACACACTTATTTGTATGAGAGAAGCTACCCTGATAGTTTGGTCACACAGTTGTATGAGAGAAGCTACCCTGACAGTTTGGTCACACACTTAGTTGTATGAGAGAAGCTACCCTGACAGTTTGGTCACACAGTAAGTTGTATAAGAGAAGCTACCCTGACAGTTTGGTCAGACAGTTATATGAGAGAAACTACCCTGACAGTTTGGTCACACAGTTAGTTGTATGAGAGAAGCTACCATGACAGTTTGGTCAAACAGTTAGTTGTATGAGAAAAGCTACCCTGACAGTTTGTTCACACACTTAGTTGTATGAGATAAGCTACCCTGACAGTTTGTTCACACACTTAGTTGTATGAGATAAGCTACACTGACAGTTTGTTCACACACTTATTTGTATGAGAGAAGCTACCCTGACAGTTTGTTCACACACTTATTTGTATGAGAGAAGTTACCCTGATAGTTTGGTCACACAGTTGTATGAGAGAAGCTACCCTGACAGTTTGGTCACACACTTAGTTGTATGAGAGAAGCTACCCTGACAGTTTGGTCACACAGTTAGTTGTATAAGAGAAGCTACCCTGACAGTTTGGTCACACAGTTATATGAGAGAAACTACCCTGACAGTTTGGTCACACAGTTAGTTGTATGAGAGAAGCTACCCTGACAGTTTGGTCACACAGTTGTATGAGAGAAGCTACCCTGACAGTTTGGTCAAACAGTTAGTTGTATGAGAAAAGCTTCCCTAACAGTTTGGTCACACACTTAGTTGTATGAGAGAAGCTACCCTGACAGTTTGGTCACACAGTTAGTTGTATAAGAGAAGCTACCCTGACAGTTTGGTCACACAGTTGTATGAGAAAAGCTTCCCTGACAGTTTGTTCACACACTTAGTTGTATGAGAGAAGCTACCCTGACAGTTTGTTCACACACTTAGTTGTTTGAGAGAAGCTACCCTAACTGTATGGTCACTTAGCTGTATGACAGTTTTGTCACACAGCACAGCCTTGTAAGAGAACATATGGCCAATGATATACATGTATTGAAATATTCATGTAAGTTGCATCTATTTGTTGGCTGTTCTATCCTCAGAATATAAGAAAGCCATGCAGCTGCTGGGTAACACCACCAGCTCAGACATTGTGTTGCCAAAAGTAGCCACCAAAAGCTCATCCATGAAACAATCTGGTATGTTGAGCTGTTCAGACTCTTACTGAGTACTTCAGAAAGTCGTTCCCTTAGATAAGAGCTATTAAACTAGTGGCTCATGGGCCTTATCTGGCCAACAGAGGCCTAGCAAGTGGCTCATGGGCCTTATCTGGCCAACGGAGGCCTAGCAAGTGGCTCATGGGCCTTATCTGGCCAGCGGAGGCCTAGCAAGTGGCCCGTGCCTCATTGCCAGTTGTTTTCAATTAACTCTTTAAGGTCTGAACAATAGTGTGAGCTTTGATTGAGACTTCCGTTTTGCCCAAACAACGCTGTCACCGTACATGTTGCTTCGCACATGGCTCCATACTTGTTTCTGATGTTCGGAACTATAATTAAAGTATACAGGGAAAGTCACTCTAATGTTTTCTCTTTAACAACATTCCATATCCCAAGCCACACATGCATATATATATTGATCGGATTCATAGCTATATTTTTTTAACAGTGCATTTTCTAAGTTTGTTTTCAAGTGCCAGGAATACCTATGTTCCAACCACAAGTACAGGTCGCATAATTTTTTTAAAGGGGTAGGAAATTATAGGGAAGAGAAAAATTTGGTAAGAAAGAACAAAGAGTTTATGTTAGCTTTACAAAATCGATCACAATAAACAAACAGAGGACGTTGCGGCGATTAGCATTCTTCAGCACATAAAGAACAACACAGTACACACACACAAATATGCTCTAACTATGAAGTGACTACATAGGACTCTAATGTACAAAATGAATGATACTCATATGTGTCCCTGGCGAAAAACTTTGTTCAAATGGATGTCAAGGACAAGTAGCTTATATATCACCAACCTGCGGACGGAGAGCGAAAAACGGGGTCAGTATACCTGGGAAATGGTCGCAGAATGCGTCTTTCTGAAGCCGAAGCTCTAAAATTGTTTCAGTCAGATGTTTTTAATTGTGATAATGATAATGAAAATTTAGATTTTTCGGAAAGTGATTCGGATGGTGAATTTTCGTTATACTGATCAGCTGTTGGGAATCTAGCTATTCTGATGGGTTTACACAGACAGTGTCCCATTGCTACCGTATTTATGGTGTAAGAGAAGGAAGGTGCTCCAAACAAAGAGACAGTACTATACTATGGCTAAGCTACATTGAAATCATTGCAGCTACAGTCTGTATATAACTGTAGAAAGTAAATAGTGTGTGTTTGTGTGTAATGGCCCATTGTTCTGCCATTTTTCTCTATGAAATTTCGCTCAGCACTCTGTGAGAACTAAGAGCCCCTAAGTGCTAAACTACCCAGAAACTTCTCATAACTTTGAAATTTGTTAGGAAATTGAACAAACTTTGAAGTTTTGTTCTCAGATTTGCATAATCACTACTCTTGTGGCTGCAAAACCATGGTAAGTTAAACAAAATGTTTGTAACATTTTGTTGTTTTGAAATTAACACCTGCTGAATTCTTCTTTCCTAGTAACTGTAACGTTAAACATACACTTATCATCAGATTCAAAATGTACATTCATTCTCTTTAAAAGAATATATACTTTTGTAGGGATTACAAGTATATTACATTCTCTATTGCCTTTCTTTTCTTGTACAACACCCCCTCTGCCATTTTTTTAAAGGGAAATTAATGTGGGCCAAGTCTGTGGAAATTCATTGGCTGAAAGAAATGAAGTACAAGAAAAATTAAATATTGAGGGCAGGTAAAAGTAAAGGACCCTTTCCACACTTTCAAGCATATTGGGTATATAGGGCTAAACCTATATTCTATGAACCAGATAGCACTTGTTAAGTGATGTGGACAGCATCTTGTTGACCTCCTTTACTTCCCAGGACTGTACTTGGTACTCACTCAAAGCTGGGTTGACCTGAGAATCAAGGTCATTTTTGACAAAAATCCGGCTCCATCAGGACGCACGCCCATGACCTTCCGACCCGCAGGTGGGCATCTAGCCGCTAGACTGCGGTAGCTCCTATTGACGGCACTTATCTGGGAATAAACTGGCAGCAAACAGCAACTCTAAGAATCAGCTACCATTTAGAAACAGTGCAGACAGTGAATATCTCATGAGACCTATCATGAATAGGCAAGGAGTAGTGGTTAGTGGTCATAGCATAAACCAACTGCCTTATGCTGATGACACCTTCTTGATAGCGACAAGTTAGAAAGAACTGCAGAGATTGATAGATTCGGTTGTGGTAGAAAGTGATCAAATGGGTCTCAGTTTGAATAAGGAAAAGACAGAGGTAATGGTGATATCAGACACAACAATTGTGCCTAAATAAAAGTCAACAATGTTATGTTGGGATAAGTGCATCAATGTAAGTATCTGGGCACATTGCTAATATCCAAAGGAAGAAGTGTCAGAGAGAAAGAAAAAGAACAGAATAGGACTGGCTAAAGTTGTTTTTTATAAAGTGAAGAACATCATATGCAATAAATACATGCCATTGAAGGCTTGAAAATGAATTTTTTAATGATATATAGTTTGAACATGTTTCTGTGAATCCTGGATAATTCATAAACAAGCCAGACACTTTCTTGAGGCTTCAAAATGTGATTTTACAGAAAATTACTAAAATTTACCTGGACAGCCACACACATAAAAGGGAGCAGCCCAGATTATTTGAAATAGGTGAGGGTCTAGAGACAACTTATCACAGACATCAGAAAAAAGGGAGTCATGATTTGTTTGTGCTTTTGTAGTGAACTGTTACATGCTGTTGAAGATTGCAGGTTGTGGAGAGACGTGATAGCCCATGCCAGTCAGAAAGGCACTTGATGATAATGATGATATATACTTTTATTTGAAATGAGATATTTGTTGTTTGTTTATAATATAGGCAAAAGAATGCAAAAATAATTTTCAGAAGACTTTTACACCAGCTGGAAGTTTTGGATTATGTGAGGTAATTTTGAGAAGTTTACTGAACAGCCTTCAGTTTGTTGAGGTGGATTTTGTAGTCTACTATCTGTGTTGCTTCTAAAACTGCTGGTTTGCTGTCTAGTGTAGATGGCATCTTGTGGCATGCAGGCCTTGTGTCTTGAGACTGTCATGGGATGTTCTGGAACATGTCACATCACCTTAAACCTACCTTGCCCATTAACACATCAGGTAATCAAGAATTGGTGGTCCCAACTTTACCACAGTTGTGTCTGCCCATGGTTGCTCCATACCTGTGCCAGCAGAGACCACACAGGAGACCCATCACTGTCCCTCGTAATCAAACGCACACAGACTACAGTTTGACAGTCTCAGCAAGCACAATATCATAAACATGCATTACAAGCAGAATGCAGCCTGCAGAAGTGACAACGCAGACATTCTGGCACTTAGAAATGCTTTTCATGGTTGATGGAAACAGCAGCTAAAACTGATCAGTAGTTGCACACGTAAATAAACGCATAAAGCCCCATCAGTTTTATCTGGCAACAGGTCATCATAATTTTCTGAATCTACAGTTCAGAACACAAACCAAGCTGTGCAAAGTTGAAAGCATTCCACAAGAAATCTGCAGCTCACAGTGTCACACCATACACTCAGCTGAGTATTTAAGTGACAGAACTATATCCTTTCAGTCTACATATGGATGAAAATTCAGTGGCTAACTATTGTCAGAATTAAAAACTTGCCATGACTAAAAATATGTAGCCCGCCTATCCATCATATTGATCTAAAATATGTTCTTGTGATGTTTCCTTATGCATTCCACAAATATTCACAGAATTATTGTTTTCTTCAATAATAGCTGCAGTGCCAACAGGACCCACAGCCATGCATATGGCTGCACGATGTGGATCGTTGGATGCTGTCTGCTGTCTCTGGATGGGGTCTGCTAACTACCTTCTTGCTGACCACGACGGCTGGGCACCCATTCACTACGCAGCCTACTACGACCAGCCATGTGTTGTCAGATACATGGTCAGAAAGAGCGCAGAACTCTTGGAGCTGGAAACAAAGAATGAGTAGGTTGACAATTGTGATCCTCCCCAGAAAGATGATTGATTGAGAAACTCTTCCAGTTGTCGACTCTTTTGGTACTCTGCAGCTCTCTATGTTCATTGATGTCCAAAGGCAAGATGTTTATGGCTCTCTTTTATCACAGATGGTAGCCACATTAACTACTTCATTGTATCCAGGCTTTTAGTCGAGTTCCTTCTGACCTATAATGTTGTTTTTTTTTAAACTCTTTTGAATCCATATATTTTCTGCTTTAAATTAGACTATCTTAGGTTAGAATGTCTCAGAGTAATAGGTGCTAGTACTCTAAGAGTTAACTGAATTGCCATTCAAAACCTGTTTCTGATTTTATCGACAGACTCATGTCGACCCCCATCTTGCTGGCAGCCAGCGCCGGGGCCCTGTCGGTTGTCAAGTGTCTGGTGGAGCTGTCAGCAGACGTGGAAGCCAGGGACACAGAGAACAACAATCTAGTGATCCTAGCTGCTCTGAGGTTCCACACCAATGTTCTACAGTACTTGATTGAGAAAGATCTTCCCAATGTCAGGGTGTGGGAGATGTTGGTTGGTAGGTGTCAGCAGTATCTGCGTACAGCAGTGGAGTTAACTACTAGTGCACCGTCTCCTGTCTTGCTAATCTTGCTTTATTCAATTACTTCCTCATATCTAGCTGCTATATTAGAGTGAGACTGATACCTCTTTAGAGCGGTAGAAGGCCAGACCACCATATTCAAGGGCCTCTAAAATCCCAGACAGAAGAAAAAAAATGAAAAAGGAAGACCACAAAGATCAAAGCATTTTTTTTTTTTTAAATAGCAGCTTCTTAGGACACATTGTGTTGAAGGACGGAAGTCATGGGACAGAGTGAGTCAAGGGACAGATTGAGTCAAGGGACAGAATGAGTGGAAGGACAGAAAATGTTAAAAGACAGAATGTGTTAACGGACAAAATGAGTCAACAGACAAAATCTGTCAGAGTAACAGCATTCTGGGACTGACAGTGTCAGAAAGGCCAAGCTTATATCTGTTTGTCCTCATTATGGAACGATAAAAAAGAACTACCACTTTTACTTTGTGCGCACAGATACCAAGGTTTTAGAGCAGGCATCACACATTTAGTGCCAAAATGTTTGATAAAAGTCAGTGGCCGTTTTTTAGGACAAGAACAGAAATGTAAGTATCTCGGTACATGGATAACATCTGATGGAAGATGTATCACAGAGATAAACAACAGGATAGGGCAGGTTAGTTGAACAATTTCTTGAGGCCTTAAAGATGTGCTTTTACGGAGAAATCAATTGGATTCCTTAGACAGCCACACAAAAAAACAGAGCAACCCAGAGGTCATAAAAAAGAGGTCATAAAAAAAGAAAACAAAAAGACAGTCATTGAGATGGAGAAAGAAATATGTTGTCAGCACTGGAAAGATCTGGAAAAATAGACGGATGAAGACAACCCAAGGGTATTCTTGATAGCCTTTTATCGTAGAATGCGGGGAGAAGGGGGGAGGGCGGTGTGTCTCAATACACAAACTGATATGTTCTGGTGAAGCTTGCAGACTGTGGAGAGGCAAGGTACTAAGGTTCTTGTGTAGCAAAGCTGTTTACTGATTTCAGAATTGACATAGCACACCGGGCATACCCACAGGTGCTCCATCTCCCCCAGCAAATGTCTTAAGGTGTTAACTGTTCCCGTAGCACACTGATTTTACACATATTGCTCTCTTCCTCTCATCCATCCCTCCTTGTCGGATCCACTTTTAATTCTTACTTAGTTCACACATTCTTGCACATGTTATTTCATCTAATCTCGTGTCTTCTATCAACAGTCGTTCATATATGGTCTTCAAAATATCTCCCTTCTCCAGTATGAGTTTTTCCATAGCTTTTGCAGCCAGAAAATCTGTTTTTTCATTCCCTTGCACTCCTGCATGTTACGGATAGTATATCCATGTGATTCCCTGCAATGTTGGCATACTGATGCATGGTATCTACTCATGCCACATTAGTCCATGTTGAACCTTCCGCAATGCCGACTGAGAATCAGGCACAATAATTCCTGTGGTCACTTTTTTCTGCTATCCAATCAGAGCTGCAGTGACTGCCTCCACTTCTATCCTCTTAAATCGTTCAGATTACCATGCAGCAGATGCCTTAGCAAATATCATATATGTTGTTCTGTCTGTCAATTCCACTTTCTGCTGACGGCCATTGTTTCAACTTGGTACAAGAGAGCTTCATCATCTCTCCTCTTAAAGCCTAGAGCCAGTCTGTCCAGACTCTGACTTACTCAGAAACATATCTCTGTAAAACACTTGCCAGCATTTCCACTCACAAAATATAATCATCTAACAGTGTCAAAGGTCAGATTTTTAAGAGCATGCATCTTTCCCATTGCAACATACGCCTGTGAGACCTGGACACTTACTAAACAAGCGGAACAGCGCATAAATGCATTTGAATATAAATGTTACAGACAGGTTCTAAGAATATCTTGGTTAAAGAAAAGAACAAATGCATCCATACTTCAAGAGCTGAATATTGAAGAGGGTTGGCTAGTAAAGACAATAAAACAAAGAAAATTGAAATATTTTGGTCACTTGAAACGTCATGGAAGTCTAGAGAGAACAATAATGGAGGGGTATATGCCTGGGAAGAGAGGAAGAGGAAGGCCAAGGAGAAGATGGGTGCAGGATGTGGCAGATGATCTCCAGATGGGTGTATCAGACGCAGGACATCTTGCTCAGGATAGGAAGGTTTTCCGGAGGGTTGTTATGGCAGCGAGGTTCCGCGAGGGTCATGCTACTGAATGAATGAATGAACAGTGTGCTGTATGGCTATTGGTCAAAGCTTATAGATTCATGATTAATTTTTTAATACCAGTTTCCACAAACTTGACATGACTGTATGCCTGTTTGTCTAGAGATGCTGTTAGATGAGAGAGTAGAGAAGAAAGACAGCGCTGTCAAGTGTCTAGAAGTGCTGTCAACCAGCCAGCCACTTTATTGGGCCCAGATTAGAAATGCTGGTATGTTGTAGCTGTTGTTTGTCTCTCCACTTCAGGTTCCACTGTCTGACTTTGGATACTTTCATTTCATAATTAACAGTGGAAGTTGTTCCAGAGATGTCATGACTGTAGCAACGTTGTGATTAAACAGCATCAAAGATCTGTGGTACAAGACTGTCAACTAAATCAACCACAGCTGAATATCAACACAGCATAGTACAAGTGCATAGATACAAGTTATGATTTTTCTTCAGGTTCTTTCAAGGAACCACCGACAAACAAAACGGGCAGTCTACGAAAACAGGATACTGAATGGCAGTGAGACAAAAATATACCAAGGCCTCAATGCATTATCGCTAACAAGGTTCTTTTGACATATAACATAATGAGAGCTGAAAACAAATGTGCAGTCTATCATCTGTCATGCTGGGTATCACTGACTATCATCGGTCATTTTTCAAGTGACACAGTGCAAAAATAATCCTAGACTACGCAAACAAGTCGCAGGGCATTATATTACCTTGAGATATCTCTAGGACCCATGGTTCATTACATTTCATATAGAAAACTCTGGGACATGTGGTCCTCCTCCCCCCCCCCCCCCCCCCCCTTTTTCCCCCCACCCTCCACAGACAAGATCACATGTAAGATGGAAGATAGGGAAAATCCTGACCTGGAGAGAATGCTGCAGCTGGTGGGCTCTGGGTGCCTCTTGAGACTCTGAGGGAACAAACAAGACCAGTAGTTAACCAGATGACAACGGCTACCATCAGTAAGAAGACTACACTGACAGGGAATTAAGGAGACAAAACTAAAATAGGCTTGTCCTCAATGCTGTGATGTTGAATCTGTACCCACATGGGACAGGCAATTAAGGAGACAAAACTAAAATAGGCTTGTCCTCAATGCTGTGATGTTGAATCTGTACCCACATGGTACAGGGTATTATCTTTCACTGAGAAATCTCTAGGACATATGATGCCAAACATTATCTTTCACTGAGAAATCTCTAGGACAAATGATGCCAAACTCATTTTCCATGAGAAAGCTCTCTAACACAAGGTACAAAACATAACTCTCGCTGAGAAATCTCTGTGACACATGGTACAAAACATTACTGTTTGCCTGAGAAATCTCTGTGATGCATGGTACAAAACATTACTTTTTGCCTGAGAAATCTCTGTGATGCATGGTACAAAACATTACTTTTTGCCTGAGAAATCTCTGTGATGCATGGTACAAAACATTACCTTTCACTGAGAAATCTCTGTGATGCATGGTACAAAACATTACCTTTTGCCTGAGAAATCTCTGTGATGCATGGTATAAAACATTACTTTTTGCCTGAGAAATCTCTGTGATGCATGGTATAAAACATTACTTTTTGCCTGAGAAATCTCTGTGATGCATGGTACAAAACATTACTGTTTGCCTGAGAAATCTCTGTGACACATGGTATAAAACATTACTTTTTGCCTGAGAAATCTCTGTGATGCATGGTACAAAACATTACCTTTCACTGAGAAATCTCTGTGACACATGGTATAAAACATTACTTTTTGCCTGAGAAATCTCTGTGACACATGGTACAAAACATTACTTTTTGCCTGAGAAATCTCTGTGATGCATGGTACAAAACATTACTTTTTGCCTGAGAAATCTCTGTGACACATGGTATAAAACATTACTTTTTGCCTGAGAAATCTCTGTGATGCATGGTACAAAACATTACTGTTTGCCTGAGAAATCTCTGTGATGCATGGTACAAAACATTACTTTTTGCCTGAGAAATCTCTGTGATGCATGGTACAAAACATTACTGTTTGCCTGAGAAATCTCTGTGATGCATGGTACAAAACATTACTGTTTGCCTGAGAAATCTCTGTGATGCATGGTACAAAACATTACTTTTTGCCTGAGAAATCTCTGTGATGCATGGTACAAAACATTACTGTTTGCCTGAGAAATCTCTGTGATGCATGGTACAAAACATTACTTTTTGCCTGAGAAATCTCTGTGACACATGGTATAAAACATTACTTTTTGCCTGAGAAATCTCTGTGACACATGGTACAAAACATTACTTTTTGCCTGAGAAATCTCTGTGATGCATGGTACAAAACATTACTTTTTGCCTGAGAAATCTCTGTGATGCATGGTACAAAACATTACTGTTTGCCTGAGAAATCTCTGTGATGCATGGTACAAAACATTACTGTTTGCCTGAGAAATCTCTGTGATGCATGGTATAAAACATTACTTTTTGCCTGAGAAATCTCTGTGATGCATGGTACAAAACATTACTGTTTGCCTGAGAAATCTCTGTGATGCATGGTACAAAACATTACTTTTTGCCTGAGAAATCTCTGTGACGCATGGTATAAAACATTACTTTTTGCCTGAGAAATCTCTGTGATGCATGGTACAAAACATTACTTTTTGCCTGAGAAATCTCTGTGATGCATGGTACAAAACATTACTTTTTGCCTGAGAAATCTCTGTGATGCATGGTACAAAACATTACTTTTTGCCTGAGAAATCTCTGTGATGCATGGTACAAAACATTACTGTTTGCCTGAGAAATCTCTGTGATGCATGGTATAAAACATTACTTTTTGCCTGAGAAATCTCTGTGATGCATGGTACAAAACATTACTTTTTGCCTGAGAAATCTCTGTGACACATGGTATAAAACATTACCTTTCACTGAGAAATCTCTGTGACACATGGTACAAGAGTATGTCAAGGCATGGACCGTGAATGTCTAGGGGCAGTCTCTGAGCTGTATTCTGCCACACCAGTGTCTATGCTACCATGACCACTGAGTTTGTTGTATGCTGGGAGCTGAAACAGAAGTTCTCTGGCTGTATCTGACAGGTGCAATACCAGCTTTGGTGACATTACTGCATCTGGACAACCAGGAGATACAGTCTATGGCAGTGTCTATCCTCTGCAACATGTCAGAGCACCCATCTGTCAGAAGTATCTTGTCCAAGACGGGGGTGATTCCAGTCCTTATCAAGCTGTTGGGTTCAACCCCTGATGTTAAGTCAAGGGCTGCCATTATCCTAGCTGATATAGCTCAGTTGGAAGACAACCAGGTGAGTTGATTGTTGGCAGACTTTTATAATAAAATGTAAGCTGACTGATGTTCTTTTTCTCTTTTTCTTTGGTTAGCAAGTTTGTAGGTTGTAACCAAAAAAAGTGCATTAACCTATCTTGGCATCAGTTTGTCTGAGGATGAGATCGTGGTTTTTTTTTCTATTCAGCCAGCGAGCATGTTGACAGTTCTAAATTTGACCAGCAGACACACACAGGCACAAAATAAAGGTTGCCCACCCCTGGTTTAGCCGCCGTGGTGTAGCAACTAGATGCTCAACTGTGGATGAGAAGGTTGTGGGTTTGGGTCATGACACAGCCAGATGTTTTTCACACAATGACCTTGGCTCCCAGGCCGACCCAGCCTTGAGTGGATACCAGATATGATTCTTGGAAGTAAAGATGGCTGTTATGATGCATCACCCGCAAAGTGCCAATTGGTCTATAAAATAAAGGCCTAGCCCAGTATACCCAAAACACCCAAGTGTGTGGAAAAAGGTCCTTTATTTTACTTTTACCCCTTGTTTAGACCATTAGGCTGTTGTAACCGTTATTACCGTATTGATCTTTTTCATTGATGGTGTCCATTAGGTTGTATAATTGAGCACTTGCTTCACCCTCTGGGTATGTTGGTGGTGATATACATCACCATCCTTTGCACCTTTTAGACATACTCACAGTTGTTAGTTATCAAGTCTGTGTCTTTCACCAGACCCAAATCGCAGAATGCAATGGCATCCCTCCTTTAGTTGACTTGTTGCAGTCGGACCTGGAAGATGTTCTCATCAATGCTGTGAATGCAATCAGAGTTCTCTGCCTCGACCATGTTGGCAATCAGACAGCCATTGCAGAATGTGGTGGCTTGGATCCTCTTGTGGAACTTCTGAGGGTTCCTTCAGGTGAGTGAAGGAGGTTTACCTGGTTGTCTCAGGTGAGTGAAGGAGGTTAACATGGTTGTCTCAGGTGTGTGAAGGAGGTTTACCTAGTTGTCTCAGGTGAGTGAAGGAGGGTTACCTGGTTGTCTCAGGTGTGTGAAGGAGACTAACATGATTGCCTCAGGTGAGTGAAGGAGGTTAACATGGTTATCTCAGGTGAGTGAAGGAGGTTTACCTAGTTGTCTCAGGTGAGTGAAGGAGGTTAACATGGTTGTCTCATGTGAGTGAAGGAGGTTTACCTGGTTGTCTCAGGTGAGTGAAGAAGGGTTACCTGGTTGTCTCAGGTGAGTGTGATAAAGTTAACAAGGTCAGCTCAGATGAGTGTCATGACATTCACTTGTTGTCTCATGTGGTCATAATGAAGTTAAAATGTTGCCTCAGCTGGTCAAAATGAAGTTAACAGGTTGCCTCAGGTGAGTGTAAGACGTTGACAAGGTTGCCCAAAGTGAGTATCATCATCATCAATTCTCTTTATGCCTAGTGACACATGAGGCTTCAGAGAGGACTTTCCATGCTTTCCTGTCCTGTGCAATCTTCAGTGCAGTTTTCCATGTCAGAGATGCCGCATTCAGGTCACTCTCCATCGTTCGTCTCCATGTTGTTTTTGGACACCCCTTCTTTCTCTTTCCCTCTGGTGTCCATGTGAGAGCTGTTTTGGCAGGTATATCAGGATTCATTCTCATGACATGGCCAAGCCATTTCCATCTTCTCTTGGTTATCATACTGTCCAGACTTTCTTGGTTTGTGACTTGAAGTAGTTTAGTGTTTGAGATTGTATCTGGCCAGAAAATGTTGATAACTCTACGTAGACATGTGTAGTGGAAGGTGGACAGCTTGTGTGCATCCTTTTTGGTCATTCTCCAGTTTTCCGCTCCATAAAGGAGAACTGGCAAAATGATGCTATTGTAGAGTCGGAGTTTCGTTCCTCTGCAGTAATTGTTGGATTTCTAGATTTGCCTCATCCTTTTAAAAGGAGCTCTAGCTTTG